CTGCGTGGTCCTCAACTTAGGGTGTGGGGTTAGGGGGAGAGAAAAGCGAGAGGCCGAGTACTCTCCGAAGAGAGCGCTGTTTCACTTGCACTAGCCGTCGATTACTGCAACTGCACTCATGTCGGATGCACATGCCCTTGCATTCCCTGAGAAATAAAGAAGCGGTCGACTACGGGACAGACTAGGGAGGTAGCACCTGCTCACTAGACGCACTTACCGCATTAGCCGTCCATTACCGCACCTGCACTCATGTCAGACGCACATGCGAGCATCAGAGAGAGAGAGATAAAGTAGCATCGGGAGAATCTGAACGATCTGAACGAAGGCTGAACACCCGGTTCATCACCGGTCTCCCCGGAGGGTCACCACGGCGCCATGACGGAAAGCCGTTGCTCTGGAGTCTCAACGACCCACGCTAGTCACACTGACTGATTCGGCCAAGAGAGTGAGAAGAGGAGAGTATGTTGTATGTTGTTTGTCTAATCTGGACACCACAGGGGGCCTGTCCTCAAAACTAATCTTGGCACCACAGGGGGCTGCCAAAAGGTTGCAGGTACGCCGAGTTGATCAGATTCGGTATCCCATGACTGTGGTAGCTTCGTTGAGTGCGGTCCCACAGCCATGCCGCACTCCCCTGCAATCGTGAAGGAGTGACCCTCTGCTCCCATGTGCTAGGGAGGTTCACACACACACACACACACACACACACACACACACACACACACACACACACACACACACACACACACACACACACACCACACACACACACACACACACACACACACACACACACACACACACACACACACACACACACACACACACACCACACACACACACACACACACACACACACACACACACACACACACACACACACACACACACACACACACACACACACACACACACACACACACACACACACACACACACACACACACACACACACACACACACACCACACCCACAGCCACACCCACACCCACACCCACACGCACACGCACACGCACACGCACACGCACACGCACACGGACACGCATCTGCACCCGCACGCGCACGCGCACGCGCACGCGCATGCGCACGCGCACGCGCAGGCGCACGCGCAGGCGCACGCGCACGCGCACGGCACGCGCACGCGCACGCACGCGCACGCGCACACGCACACACGCACACGCACACACGCACACGCACGCGCACACGCACGCACACACGACGCACACACACACAACACAGGCACGCACACACGCACACACACGACCCACACCCACACGCACCACACACGCACACGCCCACACACGCACACACGCACCCACGCACACACACGCACGCACACACACGCACACACGCACGCACACACGCACACACGCACACACGCACGCACGCACGCACGCACGCACGCACGCACGCACGCACGCACGCACGCACGCACGCACGCACGCACGCACGCACGCACGCACGCACGCACGCACGCACGCACGCACGCACGCACGCACGCACGCACGCACGCACGCACGCACGCACGCACGCACGCACGCACGCACGCACGCACGCACGCACGCACGCACGCACGCACGCACGCACGCACGCACGCACGCACGCACGCACGCACGCACGCACGCACGCACGCACGCACGCACGCACGCACACACGCACACACGCACACACGCACACACGCACGCATCAATGCCGCATCAGACTGACAGCAGTCCGTGCCGAGAACAGTGGCGTGCGCGAGGTGTCTGTAAGTTGGCTTAAGTTGGCAACAACCAACAAAATCCAGCGTCACCTTCGGGATTCAGGTTGGCGTGAAGTGTAATTCCGGCGCTGATGTGTAATTCCTTGAAATCAGCGTCTACATGGGTGATGCACAATTCTGCGCCCTGATGTGTTGTAAACACCCCCGAGTAATTGTGAATAGCTGGGGTGGTTGGGGAGGTGCTGACGGAAGCACGGGCTGAGCATTGGGTGCTTCATGGTGCTTCAAAAAAGCGGATGTATCTCTGCATACGGTAAGAACACCGCAAATCCGTCACATGTGTGCATCCACCTCTGTCACGCATGCATTTCTGGCATGGACGCAGGCCCAGCAAGCAGCAGTTGGTGCAGAGCAGGTTCCCGACGAGGCGGGCGTTGCAGTGCAGAGCTGGGAAATGTGGGGCATAACCGGGCCTCACATGCATTTCTGGCATGGACGCAGGCCCAGCAAGCAGCAGTTGGTGCAGAGCGGGTTACCGACGAGGCGGGCGTTGCAGTTCACAGCTGGGAAATGTGGGGCATAACTGGGCCTCACATGCATTTCTGGCATGGACGCAGGCCCAGCAAGCAGCAGTTGGTGCAGAGCAGGCAGCTGCTGTTGCGGAGGAGCAGGAGCCCGGCCATGTGCGAAGGATTGAAATGGTGCTCCGGGCGAGATGTGAGGTTGCTCAAAGCACAGGGTGTGATTTTCATCATGGTTGTGTGTCGGCGGAGGCCCAGGCAGCAGCGGATGCCTTGCCAGCTGCAGCATCCAAGGTGCGGTGCCGAGTGCGAGTGGAAAGAGTGGGAAAACGCCGCAATCCATTGGGGATGCTGCGTAAGGCGTCATCCTCATCCTCTTCTTCCTCGTCTTCGGGAAGTACGGGGAGCTCCTCCAGCTCGCCTGTCGTTCGCAGGCCGTTGGGTTTGGGCTATGTGTGCTGCAAAGTTTGGGGGCGACTGGGAGGCGCCGAGCACCGAAAGCGCGCGCAGCGAAGTCAGTTCCCGAGCGTTTACAACCTAAGAGGTCGTTGGAGAGGGGCATGTGCGATTGTGGAATTGGAAGCAGGCCACCGCCGCCTCTCCTGGGAATCCTTAGAAAGCCTCTGGAGAAGTTCACAGCGGGAACCTCGAGCCAGCAGGGACGCACCGAATTGAATTGATCAGTTTCGCACGACCGAGGTGAAAGAGCTCAGAAGGCGCCTGGCGCGCGCCAGGAAAAAGCAGAGTGGCAAGAAAGAGGAGCTGCACGCGCGGCTGTTCGAGAAGGTACCGAGAAGAAGTTAGAGAGAGCACATGCACACAGTCATATCGTGCGTGCTCGAAAGGCCAGGAAGCCTGTGACCTTCGCGGCTCGCCCAAAGGTCATCGCGACAGCCGGTGGCCAAAGGGAGTGGCCGCTGCCTCAGGTAGTTAGGGCACAATCGGCAAAACTGTGCACAGCGTCCGGTTGTACGGGCGCGGACTTGCCGGAGGTTTCCGCAGAAGGTGCAGCGTTCCTGTGAAAGCTGCACAAGGTTCCCGGGCGGCAGTGCAGTGTGTAAGGAAGGAGAGTTGGAGCAACAGCAGCATGAGGTCTTTCGCGTACGGCGAGTATGTCGTGGTACGCCCGTCCCACAGGTGGGGCTCCAACGGAGCATGTCGCGGGCAGACATCGAGCAGGGAGTGCTAGCGTCCGCGCGAGGCTCCTGTGCTGGTCCTGTGCCATGAGGCACATGCGGCAAGCAGCGTGTAGAGCTGTGTGGGAACTATAGTGACTGGTGAAGGTCGGGCGAGGCACGCCCTCGCACGTGAGGCGCGTGTCCTGCGAGGAAACAGTACTCCATTACGGAAAAGAGCTTTGCAAAGTGCTGCTGTCTAGAAGGTGAGAAACGGTGTTGGGCTACAGTCGTGCCACGCTCAAAGTTGAATTCAGCAGGCCAGAGGTCGTGCCGGTGCATGTGAAGTATCTTAGAGTTTCGCGGCAACAGTGTCGAGTTGAAAACAAATCATGCCGAGGCGATGGCCGCTCGCCATACAGCAAAAGCTGAGTTGGAGGCTGTTGCAGAAAGTCGAGAAAAGGTAGGGAAAGTGTGTGAAAGTGTGTGTGCACAGTTGCGGCGCAGTGGCTTCTTGCTAGCGCCCTACGGGCTGACGTTTGTAGTCATGTTGCTGTGAAGATTCGAAAGCTCAAGGAGCCGTTGGAGGTAACAGACTAGCGCAAAGCTTTTCCGCGTGTTTTCGTGGGTGGGGCAACATGACCGACAGCTTGACATTTATGCAGGAGGAGACCGGGAAAACAAAAGCCGCAGAGAACGTTGACAGCCCGGCACACATGGATCAGGAAGCTCCGGCAAAAGAGGAGACAGGACTTGCGGAGGAGGAGATGAAGGCCGGGGACCAGCTGGCGGAGAAGGAGAAGGAGGACGGAGACCAGGGAAGAGAGGGGCCAAACCGTGTTACGGGCGACATGAAGGCCAGGGAGGAGCTGGCGGAGAAGGAGAAGGAGGTAAGTGTTTTGACAGATTCTGTCAAGCACCGCGTGCCAGCTGACAAAATGAAAGACCTCATGGCTCTTCCAGCCGCAAAAGCTGTCGTTGCTGTACGCAAAATCTCAGAGCTGACAATCGACGTGCCGGACTGGGCGCGGGCAGATGCAGAGCTCGTAGCTGAGATCGAAAAGAGCAGTGTGGCGGACCAATGGACGCGCATCATGCAGGACGCCGAAACGGAGGGCAACTTTGTGTGGTGCCCACTAGTTGTCGTGGCAGAGTTGCCGCTGGCAGAGCAGGCAAAAGCGCAGAGGTTGGTGCCTTGGATGTGCTGGAAAATTTTTTTGCAGGCAAGAAGAGGAAGAGGGTACTGATGCATGAAACATGCGGAGTGCAGCAAGGCAGCCATGGTTGATGCAAAACACGCAGCATCCATCTCGAAAAAAGTCGAAGATGGTTGGCAAACAGAGAAGAGCAAGGCGAACCTTCCGCCTGCTTTGGAGGAGCGCGGCAAACGCGCCTGGCTCAAGCGGTCTTACTATGACATGGTGGAAAATGTCGTCTGCCCTGAGTCCGCGACATCAAGGGCTGCCCCACCGAAAGCGTCCCCTGTCAAGCGGCGCGCGTCAGAAGGGGCCAAGCGTGTCAGTCCCCAGGCTGTGCAAATCATGGAGGTGGGGGTTTGGCTGGTAGAGTCGATTAGAAAAAAGGAGGGGAACGATGGCCGGCAGTATTGCACGCAAGTTGTTCAGTAATACAAGTCTTCATGATGTTTTTCAGGTGCAGCGGATGGAGACTTGCCCGGCAGCCGCCATTGTTGTTGAGGGCGTCGTGGTGCGTGTGGAGGATGTTCGTCAGGTTGATCGAGCAGCCGGTGATTCTGTCTCAGTTCTGTCTTTCCTTCTTGCGGACGCAACGGGGGTGATCGCTGTGGAGGTTTGGGGCAACGATGCTTCCAGACTTGCCGGGGAGTTGGACAGGGCTATTGCGGCGGCGGACTCTGCAGAGAACGGGCCACTGTTCGCCGGCTTTCGGCTTACTCAGGCCAACATTGCGTCTCCTGGACATTCGTACCATGCTTTGAAAATGCTGAAGGTGGGCAGGTCGACCCGAGTGGAATCGCTAGGGCCTAGAAATGCGGACGCGGTGCCGTGGGCAGCTTTGCCAGCCGTGACAAACCTCACCTTGCTGCGCTCGTGCTCGCTTCCGATTCTCGTGTCGGAACTTGGTCTGCAAGGAGTCGTATGTAGCAGCGCGAAGTGGAAAAGCAGCCCGGCAGCAGCTGACGATAGAGAACGGAACCGAGGTTCGCGGAGTTGTGCGAGGTCTGGGAGATTTGACGCAGTCTGCAGCGGACCGACCAATGCGAAGTTTTCGTCTTGTTGACTCTCGCGGCCACTACGTGTCATGTGTGGCACTGGGGTACAACGCCGAAGACGCGGCGCTGGACAACGACGTCGACTTATACTGGTGCTGTTCGCAACAGCGAAGCCAGGTCTCGGAGGCAAGCAGTGCAGTGGGTTCAGGGCTGTGCGTAAACTGACGGTGCTTGGTGGTGAGTTCAGGACAAGAGGCGAAGCTTTGGCTCTATGATCAGTCCTTCGTGCGTGCGCTCGGCCTTGCATCGCGGGGTGTGATCGAACAGACGGCGGTGGTTCCAGGCGAGGATGCTCGCAAGTGAGCGTAGCGACAAGGCAAGCGCATAGATAGCAGCCAGTGCCAGTGGTTCTCCGTGCAGACGTGCGAGGTTCAGGCTGCGGGGCAGGAGAAGGTCCTTACGGTCATGATTGGACGTGTTAGTAACTGGCCTGGCTCGCTTTGTGTAAGCGGCCACAGTAGGATGGCATGGTGTTCGCATCCGCTGGTGCACAAAGAGTGTGGCCTTTGTCCTTGCGCAGACAAGGGCGGTTTTTAAATTCCTTGCCTGGAGCTCGATGTGAAAGGTTGGCCCTGTAGCGTTGTGTGAGCAGGAACAAAGTCGGGGCTGTATGCGTGCAACGAGTTGGTAGGATAGACGGGCCGCTTGGCAATCGGACCAGGCAGAGAGGGGTGGAGTACTCTTCTAGTAATGGTGTTGGCGCGTACGGACGTGCAAATGCGAGCGAGACGCAAAAAGAAGGCAGGAGGACCGCTGATCAGTCTTCTCGTGCAAGCACCGTTAAAATGCTTCGGCATGGATTTGCGCACACAGCATGGAGCTGCACGCGCGCCAGCGTGCGCCAGTCTCGGTTTGGCTTCAAGAGCTGTTCGTATAGCAGTGTTCTGGGCAGAGCCAGTGTGGAAAGCTGCGTCTTTCTTGCAGCAAGCGGGAAGAGGGTAAGCAGGAGATGTCGGTGATATCATTTCACAAGAGCCGAGGCAGCCGAGGCGTTATGTGGGTGATCTTCAAGATGAACGAGCGCTTGGACCAGCACAAAGGCCGTGCAGGGGCCCAGTGTGCTTACAATCGGTTGAAGACGGCGCTTTCAGCAGAAGATGTTGCGTGTGTGGACCGCGTCACTGCTGCGGGCCCCGACCGCATCAAGTTCTTCTTGAAGAATGAGGGTGCGGGGTGCTCAGACACTGTTCGCTTTTGTCGAAGGAAGGCGGCAAGGCAGGGTTTGGCAAATGTGCGTGGCTAGACACGAACCCCAGGTACTGCAACGTTTGCGCGGTCCAGGCGAAGCCGAGAGCGTGACACCGGTCGGTCCATCTTCTCGGGCTTCTACTGCGTTTGCTGAAACTGCAGAGCTTGTCGACAAGGGGTTCACGATCACTGTGCATCTGACACGCCCGCTGGACATTGCTTCGGTAGAGGCTGCCAAGCAGCGTTTGAAGCACAGCATGGGCGAGCTCTTTTCGGAGATTTACAAGGTCATGTTGCCAGGGCCTGATGAGACGACGGCCATTGATGTGCGCTTCCGTAGCACAGATGTGCGGGACGATGTGATTGCACACCTGCAGGAAGAGTTGGGACCGGTGTCTCTCTGGACTGACAGCCAGCACGAGAAGAGGGTGCAGCAGGATCAGAACTATCGGGCTCGCATGGAAGCGGCTGCAGGCGGTCTTGTGTCGGCTCGGGAAGCGTTGCCCGCGCTGGACCGATGGGTGCAGAACCTCGCTGGTGGGAAACGTAAGCATCTCCGTGCGGCATCACGCAAAGCTGTGGAGGTAGTGCACGTGGGTCAGGCAGCCGCGTGTGAAGCACGCAAGAAGCGTCGTGTTGAGTCTTCTGAAGATGAAGACGAGCCGGAAGCATTGCCCTAGACATGGTCGAAGTTGGTGCGCCTACGGCCGTAGTCGGCCAGTTTTTGAAAGCTGAGTGGACAAACGCCAAGAGAAAGAACGGAGAGGGCTTTTTAGGCAGAGTGTGCGCGGCGGGTGTGTGTGTGTGTGTGCGTGTGTGTGTGTGTGTGTGTGTGTGAACTGAGTGAAGCACATGTGAATATTTCTTTTGCGCGCAGACTCGGCTCAAGTGTTGAATCAGATCGCAACAGCGCGGTATGTCGAACCCAGCACCAGCTGGCGGTTTACTCAGCTTTCCTGAAGCTGATGGTTTGATCGACTTCACCTTAAAAGTCGCAGGGAGCGCTGGTGTCCCGAAGCCAGTGTTCGGGGACGAACGGAAACATCCTTGGCAGAAAAAACAGAATGCACATCAGGTAGGTCCCGCCAGGACGCGCTGCCGGATCAGCGGGGACAGCCCGTTGTCAGTATGCGAGCAGCGGCAGGCCCCAGTGGAAGTGCTGCGGCAGCGACGTCGGCGAAGAAACTGGAGCCGCCAAAGTCATGTGCGAGGCAAAGACAGTGTCAAAGGTAGATGCAGAAGTGGGCTCAGTTACGCGAAGCCTATTCTAGTGAGTAGCTGTAGTAACAGTAGTGGAACTCGGCATGCCTCGGCTGCTTTGAAAACAAGTTCGCCCACCGAAGTTCTTCAGTTATTGCCGAACATGTTCCGAGCAAGGCCCGCCACAGAAGTTGGGCCGTTTTCCGTCAAGGATGAGCCCCAGCAACTCATGTGCCGGCCGTGTCGCGAGAAGGCGTTGGCCAGCGTTTGCGTGGCCACGCCTTGCCAACGCGCACGACACAACGTCTGGGTGCTGCACCTGCCTCTTGCGGACGCAGGCAAATCGACTCGAAATGCCCGGATACATGCTAATTTGCACACCACGCACGGTCTTCTAGCAGAACTCCTCCCTCAGTTTCTGCCGCTCGCTCGCTTCGGTTCGAGGTGGAGGCCAACAGCGTGCAGCAGCTTAAATCCGCGTTCGCATGGTTGTTTGTGCTTGCTTCGTGATGACGGAATCCTTCATGAAGCTCAAATGCCGAGAGCTTCGGTCGCTCGGTCTCGTCAGGGTAGCGTGCGACGGCAACGGTCTACCCGCTTTGCCATGCAACGTGGACCGTGCCCACGCAAAAAACACGAGGTCGACCACGCCGACATAAACTGCGTGAGGCCGTCCGCGTCGGCAGAAACATCGCGAGGGGTCGCAAGGTCCAGAATGCATGCGGCGTATGGCCGCTGGCCGCTCAATGCTGCAATACCCGACACTTGCATTCGCTATCACGGCGGCGGCGGCACGGTGCCGTCGTTAGTACTCGGGTGGCATGACATGCCGCTGACGATGCAAGCAGCCTTCTTGTCTGTCGGCGTAGACCTAGTCGAGTTTCGGCGCTTAAGCGAACAGGACTGGTGCCGCGAATGGGAATGTTGGCAGGATGTTAATCCGGACATGAGTGATGCCGAAGTTATCGCATGGATGGAACATTTCCTGCGTCTTGCCACTCAAGACGAAGCGAATACAGTCGGGGGCATGAGCAACGAGCAACGCCTAGCCATGCTCGCTGATGACAATTGGCAACTGTGCCATGCCAGCAGCGACGGCAACAATTGCTTGATTGACTCGTTGACGATTGCGTTGGCAGGCTTGGGTTTTGTGCCTAGAAAATTAGTCGACGACCCCGATGCTAGGTTGGCGGGCTGTAGGTATTGCCGCCAGCAGCTTCTGCAATCGCGCAACCCAGCGTTGCGACCGCGGTGGCGCGGCGCTTCTGGGTAGTGCAAAACCTCTCGGAGGGCGAGCACGCCAATGCTTATCTTCAACCGGAAATTCACGGTCCTGCCGTGCTAACACATCTGCTAAGTTTCTACGGAAACTTGGAGGCCAACACTTCCAACCAATTTGCAATCCTGACATACACTAGGTTCGATGGCCCTGTCATTGATCCCTACGAAGCAGCTGTCATTGTGCGTGCTCCGGAGTGCACCCAAGCCCAACCTCCAATGATTCAGCTCAGACTTTTCAATCATATGGATGCTCGTGGAGACGGCTATCACTTCGATGCGTTGGTTGCGCGATCGAACCTAACACTGCCAGGCAGCGATTCACAAAACTCGGAGCCAGACCCTAGTGCGGAAACCGTATCGTCGCCGGAGCAGGCAGTGGTGCAGGAAACAGGAACAGGCGCAGTGTCGTGCGAGGCTGCAGGTCGGTATCCCAAGCCGCAAGGCTGCCGATCGCCAGTGATTGCGTCTGCTAGCCAAGTTACCACCGCTGGCGTGAGTCTGGCAGAATTGCAGCACATGCTGCAGGATTTTTTTCATGCGCGAGGCAGCTCGCTTACAATCACATCACGCGACGCAGCAGATGTCGAGGCTGTGTGGCCTCATAGTAAACAGTTGGGAAACGTGCTGCTGACTAAGCTGCAAGCAACTCTGTACAACTCGGATTCACAACCGCATGCTGCCGAAAAACTCGCAGCGGCGTGTCGACGCTATATTTTTGTGCGCACCCAGGGGCCAGGCCGCAGGTTAGGAACGCGCAGTGCGCAAGAAACCGAAAACCATCCAAACAGACATGAGCATGTTGCTCCGCTGCCTCCGACGGCGCATGACTCGGCCACCAACACACATGCACCTTCTGGACCGACAAGATCGCGAACGAAAACTGCATTGCCCTCGAAACGCCTGAGACCACTAAACGACACTAGCCAGGCTATTCAGGTGCAAGCCGGTCGAACAAGCTCCGCCGGGGCTGCGGGGAAACGTTGCTCTTGGCGACGTCACAGACGAGCGCCGTGGAACAAAACGTAAGCCTGACTGCCAGACTCAAGACCAACCTGTGGCTGTGCCGCTGGACCACCAGGCCAAGCGCAGACGGTATAGCTGCAAATCCACTCCACGTCCAATAGATCGCCAACAAACGAGCAGTGCCGCAGACGAGGATCTAGAGGAAGACCAATTTGTGCTGGCCGTGCAAGCGGCCGACGCCACGCGCGACCCACGTGCAGCCGTGGACGTCGTTGTTGGCAAAGTGGTGAAACGATTCGCCAAGCACGTGACGCTGCCTGGCGCTGCTCAGCACTGTGCACAGACCGATGCAGCCTACCGGCTGCCGGATGCTCATTGCGCCTTCGTTGGTTGCACTTGGACGGGCGCAGGGGACACAGATTTAGCCGAGCACGTACGTCTAGCGCATGCCGATGATTTACAGGAGTTGGCTGACAAACTACAGGTTTTGCGTGCAGTTGCTACACAAGAAATGCAGACCAGCGTATGGCCGCGAGGGAACAGCAGGCGCTATACGACGCGTACCGCTTCGCTGTCAGTGTGGATTGCCAATCCAAGGCTCCGTTGGCGTGCACCAGTCTAGACCGTCGCTGTCTGCGGCAGGCGGTAGACTCCTTAGAACAAGCGCCACCTGAGACACGCATATGCATGCTTTGCGCACAAAGGTTTCCGTTTGTAAAGGGCAGCAACGCAGACATTCGTTTCAGTCAAGAACTGCAACCCACCGAAACCGGCGAAGTGCGCTTTCTGGGTCAATCGCCGGCAGCGACGGCAGCAACCTTGGGGCGAGCTGTTTTTGTGGGTCGCTACGTGGAGGAAATAGCAGGTACCCGCAGGGACAGCATGTTGCGGGATTTGCAGGATTGGGTTTGCACGTTGACATTTCCTGAGTCGACTGTTGAGATAGTTTGCTGCCCTGAGGATAAACAATGTCGGGCAGGGTGCACATTAGACACAGCCTGCAAGGAATGTTGGATGCCCGTTTGTCGCCATTGCCGCGCAGCGGTGGGAGCCGGCGAGCTGCCGAAACAGGCACTAGCGAATGACTTGGTCGTGTACTACGCTCCAAGGGAACTCTATGAGGAGCGAGTGACGATGATGGAACTGGTGTGTGCCAGCCCTTGCATGACCAGCCTGATTTGTTTCAGTCTGGAAAAGAAATACCGTGACCGTCGTACATTGGACGAGCGAGCGCATATGCAAAGGCATCGACAGGGGGCACGGGGCAATGCCACCACGTTCCTTTTGGATTGGGAACAGTTGATGCAACAATTCCGTGCGTACGAGCACAACGTGGACCCGCACGGCGGGGCCGTACTGCCTCGGGCGGGTGAGGACTTACAAAAATTCGTGTCCGTCCTTTTGAAGACCAAAGACGAGGAACTGGATGCGACGGATTTGACCAAGCTGATTCATCAGGCCCGCGTGCGACGGCGCGTGGTCGTGCGACTAATAGAAGGCGCGTACAATCGAGCGCATCCAGCTTTTGGTCGCATTGACATTGCAACTATGCGCAAAAGAGCGCAGGAGGTTCTGCCGGAAGACGGCGTGATTCCGGAAGTGGTCGCGGTCCTGCCTAGCTCAGAGAAAGAAATTCCAGTGGAGAAACAGAAAGTTGCGGCCCCCGTGGCTGCGCCGGCAACCGTGGAAGAAGCAGCAGTTGAACTGAGCCTGCGGCGACCCAACGCCGTAGTATTGGAAAAGAGCTGTGTTGACGCGATGGACTACGAGGCTCAACAACTGGCAGCCGTGCAGGCACTGGCAGACGTCGCTGCAGAAGATATGATGGAGCAGAACAGCGAGCAGGAAGATGGCCCTGCGCCGGAACATGACGTGGTCTCCAGCAATCAGCCGATCGACCAATTTGCGCCCTGGTACTTTGGCGTCGCTTTTGCCTACCTTTTCCAGTACTGCACAGCCATGCCGGACCCACCGACATGGGGCGCATACAAAGACAGGCGATGGCGACGCGATGCAGACGCTCCACAGGTGCCTTTGCACGACTGGGTGCGACTCATGTCGAGACGTGTGGAAAGTCAACTTGTGCGCGATTGGACATTCGGCTACACAACCTGGAATGTGCTTTTCCGCTCCGCGGTGAATTTGTCGCGCAGTGTCTATGCGTATGACACCCCTGTTCTACAGGATAGTGGCGAATGGAAAAGGTTAACGTCGGCCGACTTGGAAGATGCGGCCG